CTATGGCTCTAATAGCTCTGACCCCAGGGCAACTTTATTTATTAACATAAAATTAAAATCACATTTCAGTACAAATAAAATATCACCATAACAATCAAAGCAGGTTAAATCAAAACAATAGACTTTCTCTTTCACAGATCAAGTAGCTCCTACCTTGAGAGGTAGACCACATAATGCAGGGTGGATTCCTAGACAACATATCATCACCTGTGTACTCAAACACTCAGGTGGAAGACATTATCACAAACCATCCCTGCTCTTCCAGACTCTCCAGGCCCCTGGAGTCCCAAGACCAATTAGGGAAGGAGGGATAGGCATGATTGAAAAGCCAGTCCAGAGTTAAGATATGTGCTCTCCACTGGTCTGAATTGGACTTCTATTTAGGTAGGAGGGAAGCTGTGTGGATAAACACATATCTAGAACAGTTATAATATAATGTGATTTAATACAACTTAAGATCATAGCTCTTGTAATTTATTCAGTTTTTGTACATTTGTGTTGAATATCTTGAGGTTTATTTATTTCCTCAATTTTATAGTCAACTATAAAGCTTTACTATAGATACTACCGACAATACTCACATGTTCAGAAAGCCTATTCAAATTTCTGTTTCCTTAATTTTAAATGTGATATTGCAGAGCCACTTAAAATGATTCATTGAACATGATACTTCTTGCACTGCACTGATTTTAAATGAGTGGTTTTTCAAAATTTTTATGGAGTTGCCCCCTATATAACCTACTTCCTTTCTATTATAAAATATTATTGACTATAAAGCATATACAAATCAAAATCACATTGACAAAGTATGTCTTTCCTGAACACATTTCTCAATTAGGTAATATTTTTACCCTTGTTTACCCTTCAGGTAGTTATTATTAAAATACAAGTGAATATGAATGGATATACTCATGTATTTAGTAAAAAGTAACATTGTGCATTTTAGTGTTTTTATTTAACACAGACCAACACACACACACACACACACACACACACACACACACACACACACCCTAAAACTTATCTTATTTTTATGGTGACATGTATCTCATGAATTTTACAGAATAATAGTTCTATATTGTACTACTTATACAGCAGTTTATCCAGCCAGGTCTCTGATGAGCAAGTGGGTTGACTCTGGGCTTTTATTATTGTTAATGATGCTAGATAGAATAATTGTAAATATACATCTCTTCACATTTTAAAAGTGTAGTATGTGTGCATGCATGTGGTTGTGCATGTGCACACCTGTGTGCATGTACCTGTGCATGTGTGTGTGTGTGTGTGTGTGTGTGTGTGTGTGTGTGTGTATGTGTGTGGGTTTTTTACATGCCAAAAATTAGGTTGCTGATTCAAGGGTGAGTGGGCCTCTGATCTTGCTGGGGATGGGCAGACCCCTGGTGTTCCAGTCTCCCCCATCAGTGCCTGGAATGCCTTGTCATCAGACCTGCAAGCAAAACATCTTTGTAAGCCTTCATGCTTTGCCACACAGAGAACAAGAAATGATTTTGGCATGCACACTCTTAAAACCTCTCTAAGTGTGAGATTGAAAAACACTCATGTTCATAGAGATTTCTCAGAAGCATTGTATTCTGTGTCTTCCTACATTTAATTGTTTCAGAAGCAGAACAATTTTCACTGAATATTTTATGGATATCAATGATTTCATAAAGCATGCATAGATGTTATCCTGATATTAATAATTCATCATGCTGGTTCTGTTTATTTCATTTATAATTTATAAAATATATACATTTTCTTAGAAAATATATAGTTTTGAAAAATGTGTATTCTATGATATGGCTTCATCGTGTTCATTCCCTTGTGTATCTCACCCACTCATTTGGGAGAGAACTCAATCAAAGTCCACTGTAGCAATGTCTAGTATGGACTTTCATTAGGCAACTTTCTTCTTGTGTTGTATAATAGATCTCTTGACCTTATTTCTTTAATAGCTAATTGAATTTTTAATAATTTAACCAGTATCTTACCAGACTTGTCTAACCCAAAGCAGTGAGTACTGAACTTTCTCTTCTTTGTTTCTATGTGTTGGCAGTTTTTTGGTTCATGTAAGTGAACTGGGGTAGGTGTCATTAAGTGTTTTACTTATTTCAATTAACCGAATGTCCTCCAAGTCATGTGTTACACTAGTGTGTGGAATCTCTTCCTACTTAAGCCTGAACAATACCCCATTATATGTGTATTGCCATTATCTGTATTCATTCATTAATAGTTAGAGACACAGACGGAGGTCATCTCTTCCATTCAATGAAGAGTGTTGCAATGAGCATGAGACATAGGTATCTTTGAAATCCTGTCTTATTTTCTTTTGAAATATAACCAGTTATGGAATATTGGTAGCTCTATTTAATTTTATAATCTTCAGAAAGAAGAGCATCTCTTCTTCACAGCAGCTGTACTGATTCATATTTCTACAGGCAGAAAATACACTGGCTCTTTCCCTTACATCCATACCAGCACTTGTCATTTATTATGGTTTTGATAACTGGCTTTCCAAACAGTGTGAAGCAGTAATATAGTTTGGTTTTACTTAGAATTTCTCTTGTGATTGTGGGTGCTACACTCATTCATGTATCTTCTTTTGAAAAAAAAAATGCCTATTTAGTTGTTTACCCAATTTTTAAAATTTTGGTGACTTTCTTACTATTAAGTTGAATTTCCTTTGATTTTTAAATATTACTTGCTGTGGGATGGTCTGTATGTCAAATTACTCTGATTGGTCAATAAATAAAACACTGATTTGGCCAGTGGTTAGGCAGAAAGTACAGGTGGGACTACAGAGAGGAGAAAAGAAAGAACAGGAAAGTGGAAGGAGACACTGCCAGCTGCCACCATGACAAGCCATATGTGAAGATGCTGGTAAGCCACGAGCCATGTGGCAAGGTATAGATTTATGGAAATGGATTAATTTAAGCTATAAGAACAGTTAGTAAGAAGCCTGCCACAGCCATACAATTTGTAAGCGATATAAGTCTCTGTGTTTTCCTTGGTTGGGTCTGAGCGGCTGTGGGACTGGCGGGTGACGAAGATTTGTCCTGACTGTGGGCAAGGCAGGAAAACTCTAGCCACAATTACTTCTTTATAAGACAGATGTGTAATTTCAAATATTTTCTCCTATCCTGCCTGCATGGTGTCTCTTCACTCTGTCAGTATTGTCTTCTTTTTTTTATACCCAATCTTTGTTGAAGTGTTTATCTAAATTGATCTATTATTAATAAACTCAAGAGTCAAATATTGGAGTAAAAATCTGATAGATCAAGAAAGCATTGGAGGAATTATCCTCTCTCTTCACACTTCCCCTGACTGAAAGGGCCAGCAGATCTTTCTAAGCCCCTCCCCACTTGTTTATGTGCTCCTCTATCTTATCGTATCCTGGGACCTTCAAAATCTCTATGGCAAATTCTGGCCAGCTAGTCTTTGGCTCCACTCCCTGTTTCAAGGCTGACTTTATTATCAGTCTCAGAGTGTCACAGGATGTTCAAATATCCCACAACACTTTGTAGTTTGGTCTTACTACATTTGTCTGTTTTCCCATGTTTGCCTGTATTTGTGGGTTCATAGCCAATTATTCATCACTAATACCAATGTCAAAAAGCTTTTCCACTCTTTCTTCTTGTAGTACTTTTAAAATTTCAAGGCATTTTTAGCTTTCATTAATGTGTCATGTTAGGGTTTCTTTTGTTTTGTTTTGAGGGGAGCTCCATATCTTTTTGGGAAGAGATCATCCTTTGTCTTTTCCTGGCACCTTTGCCAGGTGTCTGTTGACTATGAATGTGAGAGTATGTTTACAGACTTGGCTCTGAGTTATTGGTGTGTGTCTTCATTCATGTGATTATTTTGACATTTTTATCACTATTAATTTTGTCAAAAATGTTGAAGTTAGTGGGGTGCATCCAGTATTGCTTCATTTGCTCCAGATTCCTTTGGTTATTTAGAAGACTCTTTCTGTATTGTTCTATTTCCCATTCTTGGCATGGTGAGAACACTCATCCTTGTCTTCTACTTGATCTTAGTAGAAAATTTTTCCACTTCTTACCAATGAGTATGTTAGTGGAGATCCATTGCTCTCAAGTGTTGATCAGCAGCCCTTCTAAATGAAAGTTGCAGAGAGCTTTCATCATTAAAAACATTCAATTTCATCTAATGACTTTTCTGCATCCACTGAGATAAATTCTTATTTCTGTTTTTCCCTCTATCAATGCATTACTTCATATTCCTAGATTTACTTATATTTCATGTGAGTTACTCATCTTGGAAGAGGATGCTGTTTGGTTGTTGAGTATTTCTTCTGTGTTTATCAAGGCTGTTGATATATCAATATAACATATTATCAATATTACTAATATAAACATAATCCTAATTAGTCTTATCAATGAAAACCCAGAGTCAGATATTAAGGGTGAAAGCTGAAAGATCAGAGAAGCAGAATGACAGCCACTTAGACAATTCTTCTCTCTATAAATCCTCAGACCAAATGGCATCATTCTGTCTCTATGAATCTTCAGACTAAATGGGGGTGATCCTATGCTAGGAAACCTCAGATTGAATGGGGGTGAGAGATCCTGTATCCATCCACCTTATATTCCTTTCTTCACCTTCCCAGTTCTGAAATTAAAGGCACAGACCTCTCAAGTACTGAGATCAAAAGTGTGAGCCTTTGAAATGGTTCACACTGGGATCAAAGGCATGAGCCTTCCAGGAGCTGGGATTAAAGACATGAGATCCCAAGTGCTAGGATCAAAGGTGTGAGCCACCACCACCTGGCTCTGTTTCTCTTTTAGATTGGTTCAATTTTGTGTAGCCCGGGGTGACCTTGAACTCCTGATCTTCCTACTTTCTTCTCCCAGATGGTGGGATTAAAGGTGTGTGCCTTACCTCCATGGTTAACTAGTGGCCAGCTCCATGCTCTGATCTTCTGGCAAGCTTTATTTGTCAGAACACAAACAAAGTATCATACAATGTGTGTGTT